GGGGGGAAAAAAAAATATATATATATACACATGAGAATCTAAAATTTATATGTGAGTAATATAGCCTACACATTATTCAAAAACAGCTCTACAATAAAACTTCACAACCTCCAAGTCAAACCTTTTAAACACATTTTACACAAGCTATTTAACAAGAACTTAATTTCAAACTGAACATAGTAGCTGTGGTACTGTTTGAATCAAGACTTCATAGGACTGCAACTTCCAAAGCGTTATGACAGCAGGCTTCTGGTAAAAAAGCGCCAAACTGAGACAAAACAAAATGCTTAACTTTGTGTATGATGGGCCAGCAATGCAAACTTTTACCTTTTTAAATTCAGTCAATTCAGTATCATATATGACTGGCAGAAGAGCGTTAACCTTGGTCAGAACGAAACTTGTAGAGGCTCTCTGAAGCACTGCTCAGCACTTTTTAATCCTCTACCACTGCAGCTAAACTACTCCAGCATCATTATTCTATCTGTCAGCAACATTATGTGATGCATCATTATGCATCATTACATAGAAATGCATACAAGAAAATTAGTTATGTGATGACTGAGCATCATTACATAGAAATGCATACAAGAAAATTAATTTCATTCCTCTGGTTCCAGTCACTCTAACCGCAAGTCAAAAAAATAGAGGATGTGTCTTTGCCTCAGTCTTCTCTTCACCTTAGCAGGAGCAAAGTTTCAGGTGAGAAAGAAATTTAACCACAAAGAATAGACGGGGGCAGGATGAGTTTTAAACTTATAATAAAAGTTGACATATACTCAACACAAAGCCTTAAAGAAATACATGGGTATAAACTCACATTAAGAATTTCATCCTTGCAGAATGCTAAGGCTTCAGGTTGTTTGCTTGACGGAAAAGCTTTTTCAAAAGCTACTTTTGCAGCAGAAGCAGCAGGGGAGTAAGTGTCACACTGAGCAATCAGCCAGTATCCCATGATACTTTTTAAGTAAGGAGCTAAGTGTTTCTTTACTTTAAGAATCAGTTGCTCAAAAGATTGCTGAGTTGCTTCTCGCACACGGCGATCATGATCCTGTTTAAAAAAAAAAAAAAAGAGAAAGGTTTATTGTTTTAAGAAATTTACCTTTGATGCTAGGTATTTCAAAGCACAAGTGATGACAAAAAAAAAAAGAGAGCTGTCTCTCAGTTCAGCCATTTTCACAATGAATTCTGCTATACAGATTTGAAAATACGCAACACTAACAACAAAAAAAGTCTTGTTATCCCTAGACAAGGGAAGAGTCCTAACTTAGCAGCATCATATTCCCAATGTGTTGTACAATCAAAATTGTAACCTTTTCCTGATACCCCTAACTAAAGTTTTATTTCCATTTTATACAAACATCTAACACAATGTCCTGGTTTAACTCCAGCCAGCAACTAAGCACCACACAGCCGTTCGCTCACTGTCCTCCCACACCCTAATGAGATGGGGGAGTAAATCAGTAAAAAAAAAAAAAAAGTAAAAACCTGGGGGTTGGATAAAGACAGTTTAATAGAACAGCAGAGAAAGAGAAAATAGTGGTAGTAATAATAACAATGATAGAATATACAGAACATACAAAACAAGTGATGCACAATGCAATTGCTCACCACCTGCCGACCAATGCCCAGCCCATCCCCGAGCAGTGATCGCTGCCCCCCTGGGCCAGCTCCCCCCAGTTCATATACTGAGCATGACACCATATGGTCTGGAATAGCCCTTTGGCTAGTTGGCGTCAGCTGTCCTGGCTGTGCCCCCTCCCAGCTTCTCGTGCACCTGGCAGAGCAGGGGAAGCTGAAAAGTCCTTGATGGGTATAAGCACTGCTCAGCAACAACTAAACCATCAGGGTGTTATCAACATTCTGCTACTACCGAATCCAAAACACAGCAGTATGCCAGCCTCTAGGTAACTCTATCGCAGCCAAAACCAGGACACAGAAAGACAAGAGGCAAGAGAAACAGGAAGCCTTGAAGACATTTTTCGGATTAAAATGGCCATAAGTCTACAAAAATTGTGCATCATTATCCGCTATTTGTGTATGAATTTACAACACCATGACTTTCTATGCTCTTGGCTCCTAAAAGAAATACTAGGAATTGCTCTAATGGATCAGAATAGCGATTAATTTTGTCCAGTATCACATTTCCAATAGCAGCCAGTCCAGATAGTTTCAAGATGTATTAAATATATCAGAAAATTATGGATTATCCGGCTACACATGGTCTTTTCATGTTTGGGTTTTTGTGTGGTTTAGTTTTTTTTAATGCTAAGTCTGGTCAGATATTAGTCCTAGATCAAAAAGATTTATAATTATGTTAAATGAGCATTATGTTCTCTTTAGCTGTTCTGGAATCAACATAAAAGAACTTTTAATGAGAAGAAATATCTTGGCATCTTTTCAACATAGAAGTCTAACAAACAGCTACCTCCGTCCAGCAAGCAGAGCCCAGGCATCAACAGTTCAAGATTCTACCCACTGCCAATACTGAGACACCTCCACAATAAAGAACACCACTTTTCTTCATGTTTTCCCTAGAACAAGTCAGTAACTCCAACAAAGTTAGATATACCAATAAAGACTGCCTTAGAGGTTTTCACAGGATGTATTCAGAGAAGTTTTCAATTTAGATACTTTAATACTTACTAGTGAGATTTTACAATAAATTCTTGGCCAGTAAGGAAGAACACCTTTAACAACTTCCGCTTCTCTTTCCTTGCACATTGTCCCAAACTCCTGCATAGCCTAAAATCAAGATATCAAGAGCATGATTTAACAAGTCAGATAGCTACGTTCTGTGATTTACCAGCTTCTACCAGACATTGCAACTCTCTTTTTCAAAAATTCATTTCCTGTAACTGAGCATCTGGAGAGTTAATTTTATGAATGCTCCATCAGCATTTGTGTAAGTGTCGTAAGTCCTCCAAGACACCTTCTGGATTGCAGTTCTAGCAAATTTATCAATATGAAATTAGTATTAGCTACCTTCAGATATTCCCCTCCCATCCTTAAGAAAAATGGATTGGTTTCCAACAACAAAAAAATTATGGGGGACAAAGGATACACGTACTTTTAGTTTTGTTGTGATATCCCTTTTAGAAAGTTTTCGCAACACCATTCGAAAATCAGCATCTACAAGGCTGTCTATTTCCTCTGCTCCTTGAACTGCAGGAACATATCCTAGATCACTCTGAGATGTTCCAAAGCCAATAAACCCAGGCACTGTTCCACGTTCTTTGGCGAGAAGCTCTGCAGCTCGGCCACTGCTAGAAGGCTGAGAAAAAACAGGGACAGAAGTCAGTTATCTGTGTCGGTCATTTTATTTTATTTTGCACGCATCACGCATTTGAAATAATGACCCTATTTATACTGTATTAATTCACCTTCTATTTAAAACAAAGTCTCACAAAAAAAGGCCACCCATGCTTTAAACATAGAAGTTTGACCTAGAAAATTACTCTTCTCTTTAGAATCAGCACTCCCTTCTCTCATAGTGATTTTAATCCATGAACACTTATGGAAAATTACATTGGTTTTATACCCATACAAAAAAAAAGTGTAACAGAACAGCCCTCCTGTAAATGAACAATTTATTAAGAAACCATCTGCCCTCCTTCACTACTTCTGCTTTTACTAGTTAGTCTCACGTTACTGCATATGGACCAATACAGGTCCCAAAGAATACTCTTCAGATCACCGGGAAAAATAAGAACAGACATGAAACAAAGGATTTAGAGGAATGGAGCAAAAGGGTACATATGTAACACAGTACGATACCGTCCCATCAGTATTACAGCGAGCGTTCTGGAGTTCAGCATCTCTTCTAGTTTGCCCCAGTTAAGGCAACAACTTGCTCATCGCGTCAGTGGCTCACGTTTACG